TGAAATGAAATGAAATGAAATGAAATGAAATGAAATGAAATGAAATGAAATGAAATGAAATGAAATGAAATGAAATGAAATGAAATGAAATGAAATGAAATGAAATGAAATGAAATGAAATGAAATGAAATGAAATGAAATGAAATGAAATGAAATGAAATGAAATGAAATGAAATGAAATGAAATGAAATGAAATGAAATGAAATGAAATGAAATGAAATGAAATGAAATGAAATGAAATGAAATGAAATGAAATGAAATGAAATGAAATGAAATGAAATGAAATGAAATGAAATGAAATGAAATGAAATGAAATGAAATGAAATGAAATGAAATGAAATGAAATGAAATGAAATGAAATGAAATGAAATGAAATGAAATGAAATGAAATGAAATGAAATGAAATGAAATGAAATGAAATGAAATGAAATGAAATGAAATGAAATGAAATGAAATGAAATGAAATGAAATGAAATGAAATGAAATGAAATGAAATGAAATGAAATGAAATGAAATGAAATGAAATGAAATGAAATGAAATGAAATGAAATGAAATGAAATGAAATGAAATGAAATGAAATGAAATGAATGAAATGAAATGAAATGAAATGAAATGAAATGAAATGAAATGAAATGAAATGAAATGAAATGAAATGAAATGAAATGAAATGAAATGAAATGAAATGAAATGAAATGAAATGAAATGAAATGAAATGAAATGAAATGAAAATATCTTTATTCAAGTAGGCTATTACAAGCACTTTTGAATCGTCCAAAAAACTTTTTTCCCCTACCACTTGTTCAGGACGTCTTTTAGCTGACAAGAAGAACAAGCGAAAGAAACTTATCAGCTTTTTATCATAAGTAATGACATTTACATAAATCATGTCATTACCAAAATAATATGTATTATCAATTTATCACAATAGTAAATACAACTTTCAAAGTCTGTAGGACATAAGTTGAACATATAATTAGTCTTTATAGAACAAAGCGAAGGCTATTAATTCCATGCATTGCGATCCTTAAAATAATCATCAACTTTATAATAGCCTTTACTCACAAGTATATTCTTTACATGAATTTGAAATTTATTTATGGGTAGGTCAATTACATTTTGTGGAACTTTATTGAACATAGCAATACATTTACCCAGAAATGATCCTCTGGTTTTTTGAAGTCTGAAGCTTGGAACGGCAAGTTTATCTTTATTTCTTGTGTTAAGATTATGAACACTACTTTTTTTTGTGAAGGAATCGTAATGTTTTCTTGTATACATAATATTCTCATAGATGTATTGAGAGGCAACAGTCAGAATATTTATTTCTTTAAATATTTCTCTTAGAGATTCCCTAGACCGTAAATTATATATAGCACGGACAGCTCTCTTTTGTAAAATAAAAACATCCTGAATGCTAGCCGCAGAACCCCATAACAATATACCATACGTCATTACACTATGAAAATAACTAAAATATACCAATCTTGCCGTTTCAACATTTGTCAAGAGTCTAATTTTCTTAACAGCAAAAGCTGCAGAACTCAGTCTACTTGACAAGCTATCAATATGAGGATCCCATTGCAGTCGGGAATCTAGTGTAATACCAAGGAACTTTGTCGATTCTACTAACTCAACTTTTTCACTATTTACATTTATAAGTGTACTGACATGCCTCACATTAGGTAATGCAAACTTTATGCATTTCGTTTTATTTGAATTGAGCTTTAAATTATTATTATCAAACCACTGTAGAACGTTGTCGAGAGCATTATTTACATCGTCAAAACAATCATTACCCCTCTCAACTTTAAACAGTAAAGAGGTGTCATCTGCAAATAATACTGTCTCGCACAAATTCTTCGTAAAGTGAGGAAGATCATTTATATAAATTAGAAAAAGCAATGGTCCTAATATCGATCCCTGAGGTACGCCCATAGTAACTGGTGCCCCTGCAGATTTCGCTTCATTGATTACTACCTTTTGAATTCTAGCAGAAAGATATGATCTTATTAGATGAAGTGAATTTTTCGTCACACCATAATGTTCTAATTTCCCCAACAGATGATTTTTCAATAGTAAAAAAAGAATGTGTAGGACATGTTCAAAAAAGAATGGGCACTCGTCTACGTGAAATAGTCAAAAAGACCGTTGTAGATACCGAAACTAAGGCTGGAAAGAAAATCAAAAGAAAGAGTCTGTCTGGTAAAGGGAAGCTTACGGCCAAAATTATCGAAAAATTGACGGTATACTACGGATTGGCTATCAGACGTCACTCTGATTCCGTAGAAAATATGAAGAACGCTATCTGGGCAACGTTCTTTCACTACAGTTCGACGGACGAGAATCCACAGCACGAAAAATGCCCGAACGGCGCGGACTCCTGGTGCGAATGGCAAAAAGCTGCAGCTGCTAATGCATTGGATTCGTTCAAACACACGTATTGTGCTCTTCCCAAGGATGTTTTGGATGCAATCAAGCCTATCTACGAAGATCTGAGCAAAGATGCCCTCCTGGAACGATGTGTCGGAGGCTTCACGCAGAACAACAATGAGAGTTTGAACCAACTTATTTGGAAAATCTCACCGAAGCATTTGAGTGGAACCTTTGTCGTCGTTGAAATTGCAGCTTATGTGGCAGCCAGTGTCTTCAATGAAGGTTCGTTTGCTTTACTCACCTTCATGCAAGACATGGAAATCAGTTGTGGATCAAGCGCTCATGACTGGGCACGATCCACTGACTCCATACGCATAAGCCGAGCAGAGCAGGAAGCTGAACGACAAACCAAAGAAGGCAGGATTCTTCGTAGGTAGGAGCAAAAAGATGCATTAGACATCATCGATGATAGCAACAGCCTCTATGGACCTGGCATTGATGACTCAGTGTGAGGTATGTCGATAAAATTAGCTTATAAACGTTTTAACTGGATTTTTTTGTGATTAAAACTTTAAAGCGTTTTTCCCACAACTCACGTTTTCAAAGACGGTGCCCCTGATAACTCCAAAACTACTGCACCGATCCTTTTGAAATTTTAAACACTATTTCTGCACATCATTTACGAGGTAACGCTGTCGAGTTTTTTTTTTTATTTATAATTTTGTATTTGCAATAACAAATTAGCCGATTTTTTCCCACAAAATTGTGTTTTTCACTTCAAAGTGTTCGAAAAAATGAAAAAAAGATTGGAAAAAAAAAACTCGACAGCGTTACCTGGGGAAAACTATTATCTAACGAATGAACTTTGATTTTTTGATTTCAGATGATCCAGCACCAAGTTATGAGGGGCACCGCAATTCAACTTTTTTTCGAGACACGTCCGAACAATTGCTGCCATTGCCGTATTTTTTAATATTTCTTTGTAAAAATTTGATGAAACATTCTTCGAATGTCATACTTTAATGTACCATTGGTTGAGTAAATAAATTTTAACTGTGTCGTCAGAAAAAAAATCACGAAAACATGGCTTTTTTTTGTACGATTTGACCTTACCCCCCCCCCCCCCCCCCCCCTTTAAAAAGTTCATCTCTCAATGAGAATGCGAAGAAAGTGGCGGTTGCAGAAAAAAGTGATACATCTTAAACGTGCTAAAAAATTTTATAATAAACAGAAACAAATTTTGGCACTGTGTCAAGAAAGAGAAGATGTAGGAGCCATTGTATTTGATTATATGCAAAATCTGCCGATTCCTAAGATCCCAGTTCAAGAGATGTTTTATTTGAGAAAACTATGGCTGTATGTGTTTTGTGTTCACGACTTAAAGACGAATTCTGCTAATTTCTACACTTACCACTTTTTAGCGATGCTTGTGGAGGACAAAATAGAAATAATACCCTTATAAGATTCTTACTCACTCTTGTTGCAACAAATCGTTTTGAGAAAATATATCAATACTTTCCTGTCCGTGGCCACTCGTTTCTACAATGTGATAGAAATTTTGGGACAGCTAAAAGACTCATTAGGAGAAAGGACAGAATTTACGTTCCAAATGAATATGAGAATTTAATTTTGGCAGCAAAAACCAAGGGGTTTACAGTTACACCTGTTACTTCAGATGACATACTTGATTTTAAAAATTCGTGGCAGCAATGTTTTAAAAAAAGCTGTAAGTCATTAGACAAGGCAACAACATTCAAGATCTCGCAATATCGAAGCTTTGAGTATAGTTCAAGTCATAAAGGTTACTTGACATGTTCCGAATTTATCGATGGTTTCGTTAAAGCTACATTTTTGCTTCAAAAACCTTCTACGAACCCGAAAATACCAGAAAATCCGGCATATGTTACTAAAATACCCATAAATGAGAAAAAAAATGAATGACATTAAGAAAATAACCCAATACATACCTGAGGAATTCAAAAATTTTTACGATATTATTCTGTCTTGGCCAACTACAAGTTCCGAGAGTGAAGAAAGATGTATAATAGTGTTTTTAAGTTTATTTTTTAATAAATAAATAGCTTTTTTATTCATAATGTATATTATTTCAAATAATTTTGTACATAGATCTTATAAATTGGAAGAAGGGAATAAATCCAACACATTTACATGTACAGTAAAATACCGATTATCCGAACATCGATTATCCGAACATCCGATTATCCGGACTCATTCGTCTCGGCTCTAATAATTAATTTAAAAATGTTTTGACGTCGCAAGTTTATTCCCGCCTGCGACGGTGTACTCTCGCTCTCATTTGTTTGCGGGATAGTGTTTGTTATTGTTTCATTTTCTTTGATAGCGTTCAACTGAAAGGTTGTCTTTTATTTTTGTTTACGTTTTGTGTTGGAAATTTAAAATGTCCAAGCGAAAAAGAGTAGTGTTGTCTCTTAAAGACAAAATGAAGATAATTGAGAGTATAAAAAATGGTGAATCTGGCAGTAAGTTGGCACAAATATATGGTGTCGGAACTTCTACGATATCAGACATTAAAAAGAATTCTGATTCCATAATGAAATTCACCTGCGCGCTTGAGCAAGAAGATGGAAGTTCGCAACGTAAAGTCATGAAAACATCTCAAAATGAAATTCTGGAGAATGCAGTTTTTACTTGGTTCTTACAAAAGAGAGCATGCGGTCAGCCCATATCTGGACCTCTGTTATGTGAAAAAGCATTGGATTTTAATCAAAAACTTGGTGGTGATACTTCTTTCAAGGCGAGCTGTGGATGGTTAGCAAGATTCAAATCCAGACATGGAATTCGAGAACTGGAGATTCAAGGAGAAAAACTGTCTGCTAACGTTGCATCAGCCGACTGTTTTGTAGACGAGTTAAAAGAATTTCTAGATGAAAAAAAATACGATTTAGATTTTGTATACAATGCGGACGAAACAGGTCTTAATTGGAAAGCTCTACCAAGCAGATCATTAGCGTCGCGACGTGAAAATGCAGCACCGGGGCACAAAGTGAGTAAGGACAGAGTTACAGTTATGGTTTGCGCAAACGCTAAAGGAACACATCGATTGCCACTGCTACTTATTGGTAAATCAAAAAATCCGCGCTGTTTCAAAAATGTTAAAATACCCTTAATTTACGCTAACCAACAAAAAGCGTGGATGAACACAGATATTTTTCTTACTTGGTATGAAAATACGTTTATTCCTGAGGTGAAAAAATTTCAAAAGAACGTGGGAAAAGAGGGCGATGTATTGTTGTTATTAGATAATGCGCCAACGCACCCTTCCGCTGAAACGCTAAATCGAGAAAATGGGAAGTTCACGGTTAAGTTTTTGCCCCCTAACGTAACATCGATATTGCAACCTATGGACCAAAGTGTGATTGAAACTTTAAAACGTTTCTACAGAAAACAGCTACTGCGTCGTCTTTTATCAGCAGACGACAGTGAAATAGAAACGTTGTTAAAGTTTTTTAAAGAAATTAATTTAAAAGATTGTTGTTATATGCTGGTAGAAGCGTGAAATTCTGTGGAATCGCAAACATTAAAAAGGGCATGGAATAAATTATTAAAATTAACTCTATCTGATTCTTCAATTAAACCGCACGACGATTTTAAAGAAATAACCGAAGCAATAAAAATTCTTAGCATTGGTGAATGGTGCGATGAAGAGAATATTATGGAGTGGCTGAACTGCGATAGTGAAGACCCTGGATTCCAAATATTAACTGATGAAGAAATCATTGAGGATTTAAACAGTAACGAGAGAGAAGATGAAGAAGAGACTGAAACTGAGGATGTATGTCAAGTACCATTTCACGCAGAAGCTTTTGAAGCTCTAGATGTTGCTTTTAAGTGGTTTGAAAGACAGGACGAATCGGATCCCATACAGTTGTTACAACTGAAGCGCATCAGGGACTTGGCTGCGAGAAAAAGATGTGATTCATTACGTCAAAAATCTATAACAAGTTATTTCCAACCAAAATTTTAAATTACATAGGTATTATGTAATTCATTATCTATCGTTATAGCTCGTTTTTTATATATCGTATTATCTAAGTAAAACCCATTACATAATAAAAAACTATTAAAACTTAAATATTATTTGATTTGCTTTGAAACCGGTTATCCGGATTTTCGATTATACGGAATACCCCTGGTTTTAATTGATCCGGATAATCGGGATTCTACTGTATATATATAAATGAGTATTATATATTTCAACCAGATCTATTAGTAAATAAGTAAGAATTTATATTTTCTTTAATATCAGTGATGTGACATGAGCCTATAAGTGGAAAGTAAAAAGTTATAAAGTTTTTTTCAATTATCTCTAATCATGTTTTTTGGATTAATTCCCTTTTTCCAATTTGTGGTTCAATTTGGGTGTGGATACAGCCTCCTGGGATCCTCTTATTGTTCATCTGTTACTCAAGAAATTAGATCCTGTAACGAGAAGTGACTACAAAGAGTCACGAAAAACGCCACGTGAACTGCCAGATTTTGAGGAATTTATTTCATTTTTGGAAACCAAATTTATAGCACTTGAGCCTATACAAAAAAAGGAAAGAGAGGACTATTCGTCGACGAAACAATCAACGTCATATAACAGCAAAGAAAAACCTATATACAATGGCAGAAAAATAACTTATGTGAAAACTATGAATGCTACAACCACTAAGCCACGATGTGTATTATTTATTTATTTATTTATACAGGCACACAAAACAGATTACAGTCATAAAAAGTAAATACATATTTGACAAACTAATTGGGTCTGGACTACAATCTAGAACTATGCGTACACAACATGGTAATAATAGTTGTCTCATAAAATTAATAAAATAAAATGTTTATATACATATAGCTCCTGACAAGAGCATTGTATAAATAAACAAGACTGTCTGGACATCTAAAACCTTTAGTGAAGCGGGATACAAATCCTAGAATCTGTGCCGCTTTATTAATAATACTTTCATAGTGAGCATGAAAAGCTAATTTTTCATCAAAAATAACTCCTAGATCTCTTACTTAACTCTCACGATTCAGTGATTGATTATTAATCTTATAATCATAATTCAATCTCTTAATTTTTCGAGTAAAAGAAACGACAAAGCACTTATCTATGTTTATAACCATATAATTTTTGTCACACCATTTGACGATCGTATTCAGGTCATGTTGCAGCACTTCAGCATCAGTTTCATTGTCCACAATCGCATAGACCTTCAAGTCATCCGCATACAGTAGACAGTAGCATGATAACTTCTATATAAGATCGTCAACAAAGACTATGAATAAAAGCGGACCAAGATGTGAGCCCTGTGGTACGCCAGAATGAATAATGAGAGGAGCCGAAAGATGTCCTTTTATTGCAACAAGTTGACTTCTATTACATAAATATGATTCCAGCCATCTCAAAAGGTCACCATGTATACCATATATAGACAATTTTGAAAGGAGTAAGTTATGGTTGACTTTATCGAATGCCTTTGAAAAATCAGTATAGACTGAGTCAACTTGCTGGCGTTTAGTAAAAGCAGAAGAGAGAAAGTTTCTATATTCTAACAAGTTACTGGTTGTCGATCTACCTTTAACAAAACCATGCTGGGAACGTGAAATAATGGGTTTAAAATGATTATATAAGACATCATACACAACAGACTCAAACACTTTAGCAATACATGACAATATACTAATGGGTCTATAGTTTTTACATTGTGTCTTATCCCCGGATTTAAAAATTGGTATGATATAAGCCTTTTTCCATAAAGCAGCAAAAACACCGGCTTTGAGAGATTTATTAAAAAGAAAAACAAGAGGCTTACAGAGTTCGACACTGCAATTTTTAACAATAAATGGGGACAATTCATCTGGCCCCGCTCCACTCATTGGGTCCAAAGCTTTTAATTTTTTAAGGACGAAATCTTCATCAACATCCAACCCAGTCAAAACATTACAATTGTATGCGACTTTCATTTCTAATCTCGATGGTTCACTTTGTACCTTTTCGTAAATTGAACTAAAATAGTCAGCGAACATGTCACAAATACCCTTGGGGTCTGATGAGGTTGTATTATCATAGGACATAGTTACAGGTACAGAATTAGAATTTATTTTTTTCTTACTATTGACGTACCTCCAAAAATGCTTAATGTCTTTATCCAAAGAAACCTCAACACCATTCAAATATTTTTTGTAACAAGCATCAATCAACCTTTTACACCTACTACGAAGCAAACTGAAAGAGTCATAATCTCGGGGGTTGCGAAACTTTTTAAATTTTTTATGATACTTATTTTTCGTGTAGTAGCTGTGCTTTAAAACTCAGAGATGATTGAACAATGATATTGGGAGCATCAGACTGTTGAGTCCATGTTACCTCGGGTGTATTGAAGTCACCTACCAGCATGAAAGCACTTTTTTTTGCCACCTTCTAGAATTACTTTTTGACAGTTTCTACAAAACGATTTTAGGTGATCCGCCGGTAGATCCGGTGGCAGATAACATAAACAAAGATTTGTGGTATTAAAAGTAACACCGTTGATAGGAGCTATACTAAGCCAAATGTCTTCGACATTACTCTCCCAAGCCCACTAACGTATGGCATGTAGTCTTCTTAATAGCAATGGCAACTCCTCCGCCTTCCGACATACCAGCGGATGAACTAGCACGATCTCGACGGAAAATGTTGTAACGCTGATCAAACACCTCAGAATCAAATATAGTACTGTTCAAATTTGTCTCGGTAAAGCAAACAATATCATATTCTGAATTAAGCACATTTAAATGCAAATCAGATAGTTTGGTTCTGATTCCATTGACATTTTGATAATACATAGTCATAATTAGTGTTATTTACAGTATTCAATATAATGAACAAAATTAAAAATATAAATGATAATAAAAGGAATGGCGTGATTTTATACACTACTTTATGTTTTTGAGACTTTCATTGTTCTTAATACAAAAACAATTAGACTTATCATCTTTTCTTACAAAAATACGGCCATACTTAATCCAAACATATTTATAATTATTAGTTTTAGGTATCCGTCTGGTCTCTGCGTGAAGTTTTTTGATCTCTAAGGAAAGATGTTCTTGAAGATAAATGTGACGTCCCTCTCCTTGAATATCGATATGTTTCGAGTTAAGTCTCTCATTTTGATGACTCTTATTATATCTATAGTAAGCCGACAGTACTTCATCTCGTAGTCTTGGAGCTGCAAGGGTTACCTAAATATTCCGGGGACGAGTAGATGATGAGTCCATTTTCGCAACTCTTCGACAAGCATGAACATCCTGATCCTTAATATTTAATTTTAATATTTCACACAACTTTCAAAAAATGGCAATGGGATTCTCGTTACGTGATTCAGGGACAGCTTGCATTTCAATGTTATGGTTTCGAGAATTCTTTTCGATAGCCGCTGTGCGGGTCTTGAGGGCGAATATCTCACTCTGAAGAGTAAATTTATTTTCTTCTAGTGTCTTTATAACGCTATTATAACGTTGAATTTGAGTTCTCAAATCTGACTGTTCGGAGCTTATAAAATCTATGGTAGTAGTGAATTCTTGCTTAAGATTCTCCACCATAGCACTCATTTCTGCCTTAACTAATTTCTTCACATCGTCTTGAATCGCCTGTCGAAAGCTCTCCATGTGAGTCGACATAACAGCATTCAGTTTTGTTTCTAACAGCATACCAATTTTTTCCATGGTGACATTTCCACCATAGACTTCATTACGACTCGGGGCTACAACATCTTCAGGCGACAACGCACCACTACATTCCAAACCATCCAATGACATATCAACGCTGTCATGTACCGGTATCTGAGTCCTACGTACAGGAGTGTTAAGGGGGGTTTACACGGGTGACTAAAGCCGCACGATTTTTGCCGCGCGGCGTAAATCGACCATCTAAATGGCAATTCGGCTAAGTTGCAAGTGACTAAAGCCGCAAGCCCCAAAGTTGGGTAGCATCCGACTTTGGCCGCGCGGCAACCGGCCGCATGCGACTGGTGACTAAAATCGACCGTGTAAACGATCAGTTGCAGGCGATCGCCCGCCGCATGAAGGTGTTTCGCGCACGCACGTGTATTTATTTACTACAGCGTTTCTGTGTACATGTATCGTAACAACCATGAATAAAAATAACACCATACAGTTTTTGGAATGCTATGAAATGCATCCATGCTTATGGAACCCAAGAGAACAAGATTACAGGAACAATAATGTACGTTTAGCGGCTCTTAAATCTATTATTCAAGAAATGCGTTTGTCCATAGCAGTTGAAGAGCTTAAATTGAAGATAAAAAATATACGAACCACGTATAATAGAGAGGCCAGTAAGGTAGCAAAGTCAAAGAAGAGTGGCGCGGGAAAGGATGATATATACAGACCTCAATTAATTTGGTTTTCTGTAGCTGACCGCTTTTTAAAGCCAGTGATAGAAGGAAGAAACAGTAAAGATAACATGGTAAGTCTTATTATTATTTATTAAATAGTTATTCTTGTTCGCATATTATAAATTATAATAGGTAAATCGTGAACAGAGCTATTTTTATAATATTACTTAAATAAACATACAATATTTACGCAATCATTCTATCTTGCCATGAAACTTTTCCTGGTCCGACAAAATAGTCAGCATATCTATCGCGCAGATCTTTTGCATTTCGTGAATAGTTGTTAGAAGATAGCGGTGTCATTAATTCGTCTACTCCTGCCGTAGGAATGCTTCTCCAACTTCCGTTTCTGATTGTCCCTGAACTGAAGTCTTCTCCGTCTACTAATTCGGGAGTATTCATGTATATGAGATTAGTCCGAAGCCAGTTATGCAGCGCACAGGTCGCTTTAATTATAGAATCAGTTTTATCCAATGAAACAGATATAGGTTTTCTGTATACTCTGAATCGTGAAGCCATTATGCCAAAGGCATTCTCTACGATTCGGGGTGCTCTTGATAGTCTGTAAAGATTTTTTGTTTGTGTTCCAAACCTTCATGTCTTGAATACGGTTTCATTAAATAGGTTGCCAAAGGGAAAGCATCATCACCAACGAAAACTGCCTTATTAGGTAGTTTTAAATTATTTCTTTCAAGGGCACTATAGAACTTTGTTTTTTTCCAAATATGCGAATCATTCATGCGTCCATTAGTTCCGAAATCTATATATATGAAACGGTAATGTGCATCCACTATAGCAAACAACACCACACTATAAGTGCCTTTGTAATTATAATAGTCTGATGCTCCGTGTGGTGGATTTTCGATTAATACGTGTTTCCCGTCAATAGCCCCACAGCAAAAAGGAAATTGCCAGCGATCTAAAAAATCCTTTTGTATTTTCTTCCATTGATCTGTGGTGGATGGCACCTAAAAGAAATAAACTTATATTAGTGTATGGTTACAGGGAAAAGATTCAGCGGTGAACACAAACAGCGACGTGTCTTCATATTTTGATGAATTGGAACAAGAAGATAATATTGCGCCCTTACAAAAGAAAAAAAAATTGTCTCCAAAGAAAAAGGCGGAGCGTGCTCTAATGTACGCACCTAAAATGGACCCACCTGTTTTACAAGCAGTTAATAGATTAGAAACTTTGGCTCAAACTATCCGTCAAGATGAATTTGATACATTCGGAGTACATGTGGCAAGCCAATTACGTAGTTTGCCATTAAGAAATGCTATTGTTTGTCAAAATTTCATCAATAATTATTTGTCACAAGAAAGACTGAAAACCTTAAATACACAACATTTTCCAATTGCTAGACCTACGAGTTCACTCTCAGAGTATACACGCTATACTTCGACTCCAGAAGCCGAAGCTACTACTTCCCGAAACCAAGCTTTTCAAAACCAGCGTGAAACTTCGACTCCCGAAGCTTCCACTTCTAGAAGGCACCTCGATTATGAAGAAGACTATTTTGCCAGCTGTTTACTTACACAAGAAAATACTGGGCAACAATACGGAGTGAACGACGATATTCTATCTCAAGCTGTTAGGTCATGCTTAGATGAAAACACAATGGAAAATTTATAAATAAATCGTTTATAATTAATTACTAGTTTCACTTACCATAATGAACTCCTGTAAAACATTGTATATAGCATCCAAAACATCCTTCAAAAACAAGGAAATTGTGCATTCTGGAACTCTAAATGACTCTGCAAGACTTGAATAGTTATCACCGGTGGCCAAGAACTTCAGAGTTATTTCTAATTTAATTTTCGGAGAAAGTGCTACTCGCATATTGGTATCGCATTTTTGTATAAGCGGAGTAACCTTATGTAGTAAAGTATTAAACTGATCAGTAGTCATTCTTAATCGTTTTTTAAAATAATCAGGATCTTCTAAACTCCACTCAACCAATAAAGTATCCGAAGCACCCAAGTCCTTACGTCGAGAAATCCATCCACGTACCCAAACATTACGTTTTCTTCTTTCCTTTTGTTTTTTCTTCACTCTTTGTTCTTTAAGCAATTGTTGAATAATTGAATAATTAATTATTTCAATTCCGGCACAAATGGCTATTCTGCTCAACATTTTCGATGGAAATGACAGAGCCGCATGCGATTTTAGTAACCAGTGTAAATGGGCTAGCGATGCGGCTTGGTGAGGCAATTAGTGAAGCGACTCGCCGCACGGCGAAAATCGACCCGTGTAAACCCCCCTTTAGGTGTGCATTTATTTCTCTTAGTCAAGTTGTTACATGATGGACATAACCACATAGCCCGATATGAAACGCTAAGTGACAAGAAATGCTCATTTTTTATGTTTAAGCATTCAGTGTGAAATCGTCCTTTGCATGCTTTACATTGCAGAAAATTATTTGATTGAATAATCTTAAGGCAACCCACGCAATTCATATTTACTATTCCTTATTCGGACAAAAATTGAAACAATTAAAAAAGTCCTTAGGTCGTGAGGTTCGATCCGTAGGCCGGAGAGCGGTAATGCAGAGGGCTCGCCAATGCACCGCAGAAACAGTTGCTGGGAGCTTGAAATACCGATTCGCAATTGTCACGAGCAAGGAAATATTATGAAGCGATCATAGAATTACAGTCAGACTGATTTTAAGACTGCAATAAGTTACCCTCACTGACAAAAATCACTTTGCACACCACAAAATCATGAATGATTTATTAGAGTTATCTTTTGATATTATCATTAATTAAGGTCACAAACGATATCACTTATTTATTACGGGTTTGCCCCCACTTTGAAATTGTATTAGAAGCGAAATTGTTACTTAATAAATTTAGAATGCAAAAACATTACAGAGACTATATGATAGGACAGCAAGCGCCATCTAACTTTCAACAACAGTGAACATTATTTGTATCAATGCCGAAAATTTGAGAATTTGAGTTCTGACGCCAAACTGAAAGTAATAACCAGTAATAACATCTGTAAAAATTGTCTATATTTCCACGAGAGAAATATATGTCGATCAAATAAACGATGCAAGAATTGCAATGGCTTGCACAATACATTATTGCATGACGCAGTAAATGACACAAAAATGATCGACCGTAATTCGAGTTCGAATCTTCAGCGTCAACATATTTCAAATAACGTGACAAATAAAGATGATGAAATTTTATTAGCTACAATGCAAATTCAAGTACGTGCTCGAGATAATGAGAAAATACCTAGATAAAATTGAGAGCACTTTTAGATCAGGGTTCTCAAGTCACCCTTATAACCGAAAATGCAGCACAGCGCCTCGGATTACCTCGTCAACATGTGAATACATCGGTGACAGGAGTCGGAGATTCGACGAAATAGGGCAAAGGAAAAATTATATTGGACTGCAAGTCGATTTATGACGATTATAGTTTTACAGCGGAAGCTCTAATATTGACAAAACTGATTAATAATTTACCGCATACAACCTTTAAAAAGAATTATTCCCATATAGAAAATATACAGCTCTCCGATCCGTGCTACAATATATCAAAAGAAATTGACATTTTGTTGAGTGCAAAAATTTATACTACACTAGCGGCACGCTATGATGGCCGTTTTGACATATTACAATAGTGATGTGGAATGTCAATTTATTCTCGAACAAAAAAACAAATAAGTTTTGTTTTTGTACCTGATTAATAGGTTTAATAAAACAAAAATGTAAATGTTTATTTAATATATTTGAACGGACTGAATATTTGAATGAAAATGAATATACATACTTTATATGCACACTAGAAACATATGAATACAAAAGATACCAAAAAAAGTGCCACAAAAGGCCATATTTAATCAGATTCGTCCATATTACTATTTTCACTGTCGTCACTGCTATCATCACCTACATTAATTATAAGTTCGTTTCTATAATATTATCTATTTTCACATCTCTTTCATAATCTTCCCTTATTAATTTAACAGTTCTATTCACAACCTTTTCCCAGTCTCCTTTAGTCACATGTTCACAAGCTTCTTCTAATAATTTTAGCATTTTTTTTTTGTGGTAAATGGGGGTTCTGTATTGTGTCTTGCAGCATATCCCTTAATTTGAGCCCACACCAACTCAATCGCATTATACTCACAATGGTAAGGCGGTAACCGTATAACTTTGTGCCCATGTTCTAATGCTATTTCGTCAATGACGTATCGGATCTTGGTTGGTTTGTTTTCTTTTAAAAGTCGTACTAATTCCGCTTTTAACATATCGATGCCTTAGTTTCTCAAACTCGTATCTTAAAAAAATATGATTTTGGCTTTTTGTTGTCTATCTAAAGCTATCGTTTTGATTCATAACTGCAGCAAACTCTTATCTCAATACGCTGTACTAAACGTGTAATAAGCAATACCAAAAATATAGGTATCTCTCTCACACCCATTTCAGTAACTGCGTCAAACTCGTATCTTGAAATACGTGGTTGTGAAGCTAATCGTCATGCAGGAAGCTCCAGTTTTGTTTACCGCTTTCTTGAGATGCGATGTTGCCGCACTTATAGCATTGCGGGAAAAGTTTGAGATAGGATTAGATTTTTGAAACAATACTATTGATAACGCAGTTCTTAAGGTCCAATATTGACAGAAGGGTGGCTTTGTTTTATGAAGAACTTTCTAGAAATAATTTCAACCATTTTGGGAATAGCTAAACTACGAAGGTCATTTCGCTTCTTGCATTGCTGTTGTTATAATCGTGTGCTACAGTTACTTAAAAATTTGTGTAATGAAAAAATATGTTTCTGTTGAATTAATTTATCATATCACTATTTTAAATACATACATAATTATCTAGTAGTGAGCTTAGAATAATTATTTATAGTAAGAAATTGTGAGTAGCAGTGTGATTTTTGCCGGTAAGTAATGTTTGAATGTTTTCATGTGCCGTCGATATAACTTTTAAGGCTTCTTATCACAGTTTTAATAGGAATATAAATAAGCCCAGGAAATTCATCCGTCTGTCTGTCTGTCCGTTTATTACAGTGGGTTTTTTAGTCGCTTGTAGAGCTACACTGCTGAAGTAGGTAACACTACAAACCATGTTGAACTCTCACTACTAGGCAGGGTCTCTTCCCATTGCCACGATGGCCTAGTCCGGATTGGTGGATACTGAATAACTGGTAGTAAAGGTTGTATTAGCATCCGTGACCGACAACTTTACTTGCATGACTCCTTTTTAATTTTGTATATTAGGTGATAAGCCTGCTGGCCAGCTAAATTAGTTAAAGAAATATCTAGCCAATGCTCTAGCCATTTCTTTTCATTGCAGAAAATAATGGCGAGCTCCCGTAGTAGAACATTACTGAATTTAGCCCTCACGAATGACACACCTATGGACAACTGTATTGAAGGAGTCAATCGTGATGAGATGACAGTAAACAGTAGTGATCCATTCACTATTGAGCCTTGTAATGATCTGACCATTACTACAAGTTCTGAAAAACCTTCTGCCATAAAAATTCTTGAAGAGAAACGAGTAGTCCTGGATCCTAAATCCGGGCGTTTTGTTTTTACGGACCAGTATCAAGAAACCAATACTACAATACCAGTAAACGCCGTTTTGGATGAAAGAACGGGTCAATTTGTTTCAGCAAGCTTTGATGACTTAAACTTTACCTCAGGATCCGACTATTCACCAAGTGAATCTGAGGATCTTTCTTCTGAATCAAGTTTATCTGACAGTGGACCTTCATATTTATTATTGGACGAATCATCTGGAATAATCACAAAGAAGAAATCACGAAAAGGTCAGGGAAATGCTTTGAACTGGACTAGGAATCAAAGAAAACGTAAGAGAATGCAAGGTAAAGAATATTCATCGATCAAAAGAAGCAAAGAAGTGACTGGTGTCATGGAAAGACGAAAGGAAAGAACTTTAAAATCTCGTTGCTGTTCAGAAACATGCTCGAAAAAATTTGGTAAGCAATGCAACCAAGTATCAGAAGACAGAAAGGAAACAGTAGTTTAGTTTCTGAAGTAACAGGTGTAACTGTAAACCCCTTGGTTTTTGCTGCCAAAATTAAATTCTCATATTCATTTGGAACGTAAATTCTGTCCTTTCTCCTAATGAGTCTTTTAGCTGTCCCAAAATTTCTATCACATTGTAGAAACGAGTGGCCACGGACAGGAAAGTATTGATATATTTTCTCAAAACGATTTGTTGCAACAAGAGTGAGTAAGAATCTTATAAGGGTATTATTTCTATTTTGTCCTCCACAAGCATCGCTAAAAAGTGGTAAGTGTAGAAATTAGCAGAATTCGTCTTTAAGTCGTGAACACAAAACACATACAGCCATAGTTTTCTCAAATAAAACATCTCTTGAACTGGGATCTTAGGAATCGGCAGATTTTGCATATAATCAAATACAATGGCTCCTACATCTTCTCTTTCTTGACACAGTGCCAAAATTTGTTTCTGTTTATTATAAAATTTTTTAGCACGTTTAAGATGTATCACTTTTTTCTGCAACCGCCACTTTCTTCGCATTCTCATTGAGAGATGAACTTTTTAAAGGGGGGGGGGGGGGGGGGGTAAGGTCAAATCGTACAAAAAAAAGCCATGTTTTCGTGATTTTTTTTCTGACGACACAGTTAAAATTTATTTACTCAACCAATGGTACATTAAAGTATGACATTCGAAGAATGTTTCATCAAATTTTTACAAAGAAATATTAAAAAATACGGCAATGGCAGCAATTGTTCGGACGTGTCTCGAAAAAAAGTTGAATTGCGGTGCCCCTCATAACTTGGTGCTGGATCATCTGAAATCAAAAAATCAAAGTTCATTCGTTAGATAATAGTTTTCCCCAGGTAACGCTGTCGAGTTTTTTTTTTCCAATCTTTTTTTCATTTTTTCGAACACTTTGAAGTGAAAAACACAATTTTGTGGGAAAAAATCGGCTAATTTGTTATTGCAAATACAAAATTATAAATAAAAAAAAAAACTCGACAGCGTTACCTCGTAAATGATGTGCAGAAATAGTGTTTAAAATTTCAAAAGGATCGGTGCAGTAGTTTTGGAGTTATCAGGGGCACCGTCTTTGAAAACGTGAGTTGTGGGAAAAACGCTTTAAAGTTTTAATCACAAAAAAATCCAGTTAAAACGTTTATAAGCTAATTTTATCGACATACCTCACACTGAGTCATCAATGCCAGGTCCATAGAGGCTGTTGCTATCATCGATGATGTCTAATGCATCTTTTTGCTCCTACCTACGAAGAATCCTGCCTTCTTTGGTTTGTCGTTCAGCTTCCTGCTCTGCTCGGCTTATGCGTATGGAGTCAGTGGATCGCGCCCAGTCATGAGCGCTTGATCCACAACTGATTTCCATGTCTTGCATGAAGGTGAGTAAAGCAAACGAACCTTCATTGAAGACACTGGCTGCCACATAAGCTGCAATTTCAACGACGACAAAGGTTCCACTCAAATGCTTCGGTGAGATTTTCCAAATAAGTTGGTTCAAACTCTCATTGTTGTTCTGCGTGAAGCCTCCGACACATCGTTCCAGGAGGGCATCTTTGCTCAGATCTTCGTAGATAGGCTTGATTGCATCCAAAACATCCTTGGGAAGAGCACAATACGTGTGTTTGAACGAATCCAATGCATTAGCAGCTGCAGCTTTTTGCCATTCGCACCAGGAGTCCGCGCCGTTCGGGCATTTTTCGTGCTGTGGATTCTCGTCCGTCGAACTGTAGTGAAAGAACGTTGCCCAGATAGCGTTCTTCATATTTTCTACGGAATCAGAGTGACGTCTGATAGCCAATCCGTAGTATACCGTCAATTTTTCGATAATTTTGGCCGTAAGCTTCCCTTTACCAGACAGACTCTTTCTTTTGATTTTCTTTCCAGCCTTAGTTTCGGTATCTACAACGGTCTTTTTGACTATTTCACGTAGACGAGTGCCCATTCTTTTTTGAACATGTCCTACACATTCTTTTTTTACTATTGAAAAATCATCACCATAAGGTTTAGAATTCACTAACCCGGAGTAAGCTTTGGAGTCACCGTCGCCGATATAGTTGCGATATCGTACACCATTATTTACCGAGCGTTGAAACATTGTTTTTATCGCTTCGATCTCCATATTTCCAGATGCACCAGTATGATTTGCCTGACAGTTTCCAGTATCTACATGAGCTTCATGCCATTCTTCGTATTCGGCAGAGTTCAATTTGTGTTCCCAAATTTTACATTCGTGGCAGTATGAACTTTTGACGAGAATGTCAAGCACTTTACCAGTAAAGTAACCGATTAGCGAGGTGACGCCGAATAAAAATGAGTAGCCTTTTTTTTCCATATTCCGTCGCCTGATACACTGAGTTCGTCGGCATCTTCAGTTTTTTTTTCTTCGGCTGTTGCTGCTCTTTCTTCTTTTGTAGCAGATGAAAAAAATCGATTCGCTACTTCTCTTATAGTCGAGCACATTTTCTTCACGTAATTATAGTCGCTCTTGATAAAAATGAACTAGACAAATCCATCAAGCCGCAGAACTTATCACAGCCAACTAATCCAAGGCCTAATATCCTCATCACGAAGACAAACCGATAATTCACTTCGTAAATACCAGAGTTTATTCGAGCACTAGACAGAACGTTTGTAATTTGTTTACAACTTTCGCACGACACTTTGATGTGAAATCCAAGACCTTTTTTCTTAGTCGAATGAAAATTTACTTTTCCATCACACTTCATACACTTCACTAGCGTAGCAATTGTCGCAAAGACCAATAAAAAATCAATTACCCTATAATGTCGTTCAAGATCCTCCCTAATTTGATCTTCAACGGTCATTTTTATTTTTTTAGCTGACGCGCTTTTTGTCGTAATGTTTTCGCTTTTCCGTTTGTGGGGAGGTAAAATTTTTTTGGGTCGATATAATCTCGAACCAGTGGATTGTCTATCAGATCTTCCAATTTTTTTGGGCATTTTTGTAATAATTTAGCAACAAAAATGAATGAAAACAGAGGTGAAATTATGGATATGGATAGGATATTTTCTGCTAACTGAATTTTGTACACCACACTGACAAAGTATACAGATCAGGTATAAACCCGTTTGTCCTTGTATTGCCTTGAAATTTCGATAGATGGAACTGGGAGGTAAGGTACTACATTAATAGAGAGTGAAACATCTGCCGGGTAACAATAGCGCGCTCGGGTCGAGGCGTTGGGGTTGGTTCGGGTATAGGTACAAAAATCCGGCACATATAAAAATACTCATAACTTCGTCAATTTTGCTCCAATTGACTTGAAACTTTAACACAATATTCTTCAGATATTTCGAAAATAAAAAAAAATGCAAAAAAAAAAATACCTTACCCCCCCCTTAATTTCGCGTCGAGTTCTTCGCAAGTTGAGCAAACGTCCACTTGTGGGCGACCGAATCTGTAGCCATGATTTTCATTAAAATATTTTCTGTAATAGTCGTATTTTACGGATATGTTCATCAATAGCCGCAATTGTTTCGTTTGTTAAGACATTACACCGATTACGATGCTGTCCTCGTTGATCTTTAGGTAGTTTTCCCTCCGATTTAAGGGAGGTAAGGCGAAAAAGTGCCTTATTTTTTATAGCGTATAAAATAGAGAAGGCTTGACGGCATACCTGAATTTTTTCATTTTCTTTAATAGCAAAATATTTAAACGAACTGTCACGTTTTTTCGGATTTTCGTGTTTTGAACGGTGGCGATTAAGCCTTCCGTATTCAATCAGACTCATCATATAAATGAATCGGTTATTTTGAAAAGGGCACAAGTCACACTTTTTGCAAAAACGAAATAAGTATGTAGGAGTATTTGTCTATGCTATTTGCATGTTTTCTCAGAAAAGGGCACTAGTACGCTTCGTCTTTACCAAGTTATGAGGTTTGAACATTTTGGTGTATTTTGAAATAGGCATTAGTCCTGGACTAGTGCCTCTTTCATAACAAATGCCAGTTTTGACACATAACCTCAAAATGTACTAACGCTCATTTGCAAAAATGTCTTCCGATAATGAATGTGAAAATGTGCGAAATGATGCGAAAAAACGAAAGAAAGGTGTGAAAAATGAAGAAAACTACGTGCAAAATGTACGCAAAAGACAAAGAATAAGTGGAAGAGAGTACACAACACAGAAAAACAAACTTGTACAAGCAAAGACTATTGGCGAAAATTGCAGGTATTTTTCTATTCTAGTTCCATTATTTTGTTTTAATATCAGTAGAATCTAGCTGTTACTAATTTAATTTGTTTGTTATCTAGGTGTAAAAAGCAATGTTTCAATAAAACATCTGAAGACCAGCGACAAATGAATTTCGATAAACTTTACAGTATTGAATCGAAAAATGGACAAGACATTTTTTTACAATCCCTTATAAGTTGTACCGAGATCGAAAGGAGAAGGCCCAGAGTTGATGACGAACGTAGCAAGAGTAGGTTCGGAAGCTATACATACTATGTTGAAGTAAATAAAAAAACTCTTCAAGTTTGCAAAAAGGCTTTCATGTCTATATTTGCAGTGAGTGCAAAGAGGATTCGTAGATTATCATACTTAAAACAAATTGGAAAAGTACCTAAAGATGGGCGTGGAAAAGAGGTGACGTCCCGTCGGGCCATTGATGGAAACCTATGTTTGAAGATAAGAGAACACATTGAGTCATTTGATGTTAAATCTGTTCATTATGGCAATTCTGAAAAAAAGTATCTCAGTGCTTCTCTCGACATTAAACAAATGCACAAAATGTTTTTACAGAAAAATCCAGAATGTAACAGCATCACATACAGTTTCTACAGAAAATATTTCAAGGAAAACTTCTCGTTAAGCTTTGGAAGACCTCAAGTTGATACTTGCTCAAAATGTGAGGAATTGAATGCGAAGATAATGAGTTTAGAAGTAATCACCTATCCAGTTGCTGGATCATCTCAAGTCCAAGCATTCTTATCTGTTACATAATCGGATACCTTATAATAAGCTTTTTTAATAAGTATTTTTTTAATAGTAGATTTAAACTGCATGATATCTAATTGTTGTATTTTGCTTGGGACCTTATTGTAGAAGCGCACACAAAGACCCTTGAAAGAGTTATTAACTTTTTGCAGTCTAGTGACAGGCACCGTTAATTTATTTTTATTTCTTGTATTAAAATTGTGTACATCACTTTTAATAGAAAACAAACTAATATTTTTACGAACGTACATTAAGTTCTCGTATATGTATTGAGAAGCAACAGTCATAATGTCTATTTCCTTAAATTTCTCCCTTAAAGAGTCCCTAATCCTAAGATTATAAATTGATCGAATTGCTCTTTTCTGAAGCACAAAAATTGTTTGTATGTCGGCAGCATTTCCCCACAATAGGATACCGTATGACATAACACTATGATTAAAAGTAATTTCTTATGTGAATCTGCAAAAAGAGTGGCTGTAGGAGAGCTTCTTGTGCACAAAACAAGAGCGAAAAAATTCTATAAAAAGATAGAGCAAGTGAAGAATGACATCAAAAATAAACAAAATGCTTTTGCTATATGTATAGACTATATGCAAAATCTTCCTCTACCTCACATTCCTGTTCAAGAAATATTTTATTACAGACAGCTTTGGGTCAATGAGTTTTGTGTTCATAATTTAAAAACAGACGCTGCTGTTTTTTACTCATACCATGAGGGCATAGCTAATAAGGGTCCAAATGAAGTATGTTCATTTTTACTTCATTATATGGAACATTTCATGCCATCTGCAGTTGACGAATTGCACATATTCTCAGACGGATGTGCTGGCCAAAATAAAAATAATACAGTAGTAAGATTTCTTATGGCTTTGACACAGACACATAGATTTCAAAAAATTTATCATTACTTTCCAACCAGGGGCCATTCTTTTCTGCCCTGCGACAGAGACTTTGGTCTTGTCAAAAGGAAGATAAAGAGATATGACAGAGTGTACACCCCAGAAGAATATGAAAATATTATAGTAGCAAGTTCATATTTCAGCAAAATATCAGTCTTTAAAGTCACTACTCAAATGGTCATTGACTTCAAAACGTGGTGGACCCGATTATATAAAAAAAACTGTATTTCCATACAATCATTAGGTAAAAAAGTGCCTAAAGATAAGAAAGTAAACTTTAATGTATCACTTTTCCAACAATTTTACTACGATTCCTCAAACCCAGGTGTAGTTCAAACAAGAGAATATATTGATGGCTTCTTAAAATTTGATTTCAAACTGGCGATTGGGCGGGAAAATGTTTTATTGCCCACAGCTCAAGCTTACGGTGATAAAGTTCCAATTAATATTAAAAAAATAGAGGATATTAAGAAAGTCATGAAACATATTTCCACAGAATTTCTGACTTTTTACAATGATATAATTAATTGGCCAGCTAAGTCATCTGAAACCCTTGAAGAAGATGTAGAATGAGTGTGTGAACATTACTGTGTTGATGAGCCAATAAAAATACCATTAATAAATGTAAAATGTTGCTTGTATTATTTACATTAACCGTTTAAATTTTGAAAAGGGCATTAGTCCAGGTCGGAAAATACCCATTATCTTGATAATTAATGGCGTATTTAGCTTACAAATCAATTAATTCAATGAGTTAAAAAGACATTGATCCACTAGATAAACATAAAATTATATGATCATACATTTTTTTTTCAGGGCACAGTTTTTTTTGTCTCCTGTAAAATTTGCATTTGTGGACTTAGGCCCTTTTCAAAATAAGCGATTCAAATCACGGCCAATAGTCATTTATAGCGACGGGTGCTGTGCCCAAAACAGAAACACGACTCTGTCAAATGCATTGTTGTATTATGCAAAGGTCCATCATGCTGAGATACAACAAAAGTACCTAGTTGTAGGACACACACAAATGGAATGCGATTCCGTCCATGCCTCCATCGAACGCAAAAAGAAAGGAAAAGAGCTGTATGTGCCAGCTGATTTTAATACAGTAATTAAG